TATAATATAATATAATATAATATAATATAATATAATATAATATAATATAATATAATATATATATTGTGTTAACTGAAGGAAACAAGGTATACATGCATATCCTTCTTTTATCTCGAAGATAAAGCTGTGTAATCAAACAGGATGTGTTTTTCAGAAAAGCTATCAATATCTAATTGTTACGCTTTGCAGTTTGCTATCTACACAGGATGTGTTAAAAATTCAAAGTTGAAGCACAGCACTGAACAGACCTTTATCACTGAGAGGAAGTCAAACAATAAAGTTAGGATTGTATACAACCAGTGGATTTATAAAAGGCCAGCCCTCAGTCGACACATGCACTGTGGCCAAAGTCTCTTACTGATCGGGAGATACGGCAATCTGTGTGGGATTAAAACGTGCAGCAGAACAGGTTGTCACAGACGCAGGTAAGCAAACCAACTTAATTTAAATGTTTGTTAATAACTTTAATTCTAAATCAAATGAGTTCATCGTTCATTATTATCAGATTTCTCAGCTCTCAGGGGGGTGGAAACTATTAAGGAACGTGTTGTAACTCTAATAATCAAAAATATACAGCATAATGGAGACATAGTTCAACAAAACTTTTTTGGTCATTAATTGTTTTCAAGAGTTCAAATGGAAAAAGCTTGTTCCAGCTTTCATTGGGAGAGAGACAGGATCCAGTACACACTGTGTGGGTCCCCAGTCTATCACTGGGCCACACAGAGACAAACAGACGGATATTACATCCTACAACTAATTAGGTCTATTGGCAACTCGTGAGTTATGTTATTGTGGGTTATAAAAAGAGAATCCAAGTTAAATTTCTGGAGATTCAAGATAATTCAAGATTCAACGTTTTTATTTACATATGCACAATAGAAACAAGATTCCTTGTACATTTAAATCTTTAATTTGCTGCCAGCAAGAATGAGCTGGAAAGTAGTCGAGTAGTAGAGTAAAAGCCACAAAAGGGTATGAAATACAAAAAGGGGCTTAACTAAGTTCACAGCCTAAAATCAAGAATATTTAGTGTTTCTCAACATCCCCAGATTTTTGTGATCCACAGTAGATAGCATCCTTTAAAGAGAATCAGGAGAAATATCCACTCGATGATCAGCCAGCACACTTGAATTAATATTATTACATCAAACATAAAGGTTTGTTTTTAATCCTCTGGAGTCAACGTATTCTGTCTCCTCTACACTTACAGGTTTATGTTAAGATAAATGTCTGGTTCTACCCAGCAATTTTTTAACGAACTGTTTAAATCAAATTCAACTTGAGCGAATATGTCAATAAAAGAAAACATACAACAAGCTTTGATATTTATGGGGGGCTCATCTCAATTTACACACAGATTTCCAGTGCAAACATTCATTGTGTTGTGTTTGTTTTAATCGGGTTGTAATCCTTTGGTTCTACTTGAGCAGTGAGGCACTAAGTGAGCCCTGACCCAAGCACATAAAACACTAAGACAGAAAGAAAGAACTTCCTTTATGGAGTCCGACGGTGCCGGCAGCGTGCAGTACGACCGCTGGAATGAGGACAACATCAACATGAACGTGGAGCCTTCACAGTCTGCTGTGAGGAGGTGAGATTAGTTGTTTCCTGACATAAAGACAGATCTCACAGATAAAAAACTAATCAAATTTTTCTGAGGAGAAAATTCAAAGAAACTCTGAATTGAATGAACTTGAATACACCGACAATCTAATAAAACATTCAAGGTCATGTTTGAGTAGTAATATGCCGGGAAAAGGTAATAAGTAATTTTGTCTTTCTTTTTTTTATTCACAGAATCTACAACAGAGTGTGTGTGGGCAGTACCGGAGTGGTTTTGAAGTCAGGAGCTGCTATAGCTGCATTGGTGTCTGTTTACATCATTGGGTATGTGACTGGATACTATGTCCATCGGTGCTGATGGCCAAACCAGTCATGACAAAAACAGAAATGGACATCTGGACATTCCATGGAAACACTTAATTATGTTTGCACAAATGCTTGTGATAACTGCTCAATATGACTGTGTTCAAGAAATGACAAATGTTTTTATTTTGAGACAAATTCCTCTTTTATTTTTAACGCTGCATGATTAGTCTGGAATTATCTTTGAATATTCTCTGAAGTGAATTATCTCGTACCAAAAATTGTTTGGCATGTAAAAGAAAACTGTGCCTATGTAACCCAGCACCTTAATTACAGTGATGCCTGACTTTCAAACTCCACACGACTGAGTGGATTTAATGTCTATCAATGCATGAAATTCATTCTCAATTGTCTGTGCTTTAAATGAAGTGCAAACATGCCATTGTACGAACATCTAATCAAAAATACAGACTGAGGGCAGGACTGGTGCAGGGAATCCCCTTCTTGAGAATTAGGAGGAACCGCTGCTCCCAGCCAATGACAATAATAATTAAATCTGTATTGGGTATTGATTGTTCTGCAGGATCCGTCGGGAGGCTTTATGAGTATTCACATAACACCAGAAAAAAGAAACATATCTGGGTGTTAAAAGACAAGCTTTCATTCAAATCAGACAATGTTTCTGAGTGCATTTTTATTGTTTATCCGGTGCATCCGGCCCAGGTGACTTGGACTGGAATAATATGACTGCGTCTCTTATCTAAGAGCTAAACTTTGATAAGGAGGTAATAAAACAAAATTCCTGCAGAGACCATTTTAATATTCCTTTCACTCTTAAATGACTGACAACATGTTTAAGAGACTTTAAAAGATGTAAAAAGCAGGAGAAAACTCAAACAGTTTCAATCCTGAGACGGAGTGATCTTCAGGTCAATCCCCTGACAAAGTGCACATGTGGGATCTCAAAACACGTGAAGCAACATTAGAAACGTTCATCTTCCATTTTCAGTCACCATTAAAGCAAAGTTGAAGCTTCGATAGAATGTGGATGTTTAGAAAATTAAACCAGGTCTAATCACATCACATGATATAATTATGTTATAATAAATCCATCATGTATAAATATATCAGATAAATCAGATCATATTAGTTTTGATTAACATCCCTTCACTTTCATTAAGAGGCCATGGTAGACTGAGAGAATAAATGACATAGTAGTAGATCTTTTTAAAACAAAATGTCAGTAATCTGTAACCGTCCTGGTCACAGGCAGATGTGTTTAATTGGGAAGGAGAGGCCCTGGCACACTAGGAAGTCGTTAGAACGGGCGTCTGCAGGTCACACAGATAAATACCTGTCGTGAATCTCTGTTTTACGGCATTTTAACGAATAGCTTGTTGCGGCCCACTTTTCCTCCGTTGCGTGGGGCGTCACGATGTGGGGAACTCCGCCAGCGTGATGTCACAGTGAGCGGGCGGCGGAGGCGGACCCGGAGGAGCTCCGTACGGTCAACTCCACGGCGTGTCTGGGCAAAATGAAACATGGATGAGGAGGTCGCTGAAAGTTGGGAGGAAGCTGCCGATAGTGGGGTAAATAATAAGAGCCACAACGTACTCTTACTTTAAGACTATTATTGTTTGGGTTGTCTTCAAATAAGTCTCTTGTAGAACTTCTCCCGACGCTGCTACATGTTAGCAACTTACACGGGCCAACAATGTGGCTAAAGCTAACGCTAGCGTCGAGAAACTTGGCGAGTCAATTAGCGTCAGCCATCAGCTTGCTCGGGCTTAACACGAATATAACTAACCACGCGTCGTAAGTTAGAATCAAGTTTTACTTGAGATAATGCCAATGGGCTTTATTTTTAGCCAACACTATTGGTTTGAGAACATGGCTACAAAAGGTTAGCTAAACTTAAGGAATAAGAGTTCAGTTGAGAAATGCTATGGTTGATGCAAGCTAACGCAATGCTATGTGAGCTAGCCATTACCAGGGTCACGTTTAGAACATGTCAGTTTACTGTAGTTCACTCCCTAGCAAACAAACCAACTTCGGACAAGGCGGGTTAAGCCCCTCTCACGCCACAGTTTTGTATTGTATTTAGTTCGGCAGACTTTCAGCAAATAAATAAATGACCTGTAGTTACAAAATGACATGTTTGTCAGCCCAGTTTCTGGCTGTTGTGACAGTTCGAGAACTTCGCCGACGAGGATCAGCGTAGCAGAGCTGTTAAATTGAAGGGACATGATTGTTCGTAAAGGTGATCTGGGTGTGTTTGATAACTTGAGAGGTTGTTGAAGACATGTAAGTCATGTGTCACCACACAGTCGTCCGTGTTTGGTTTAGCTCGGCTTGTGTTCCATTAAACTGACTCGACTTCCTTTAGCTTTTACTGGGTAGGTTGGCCGGTAGCGACTCCGGTGTTACGTGGTGTTCGAGCTGGTTGTGTTGCCAAACTGGTCGGCTAACGTTCTGCTAACGTTAGCTTACCATCGTCATGGCATTTTGGCAGGCTATCGTGAGTTGGTGACGTCGACAGCGTGGCTGTGAAGGGAAGCCGATCGGGACGTCAGCACCTCCTCGGGCTCAGCTTACAGATGTCTGAAGCCCCTGTTTTTGCTCTGCGGTTACTCAGGGCTCCACTTTGCGGGCTGTTTACTCTTTTTGCTGGTAACGCACTTAATGATGTCGGTCCGAAGACACTCTGTGATGACTTGGCAGCTGTCTTCGCATGTATAAATAGATTGTAACTGAATCCTGCTTTCCATCCACTCCTCCAACCTCGTACCTGCTGCTCTCCCCTTCCTGTCCCAAATCAATGCTAGTTTGCATAAATGTGTGCTTGCGCTACTTTTCCCTGCAGGAAATGGAAAAACGGTTAGAAGAGAAGCTTCGGATCAGCCAGAAAGAAAAGTAAGGACCACAAATGCAGAAGAGATATGGCCCAGAGATAAATTTGTGTGTTGAAAACTACACTTTACTGCTTATTTCTATAAATAGACACCTGGACAGGAGAGACATTTAAACATTTTGCAAATTGGAAAGTGAAGTGGATCCTTACAAATGAAGAATGGGCATGTTTGACATCACTCTTTACGACTTTAGATTAATTCAGCCTATTTATTTTCTTCCAGGGAATCCAATAACTCTCCCCGATCTCCATTAAAGACAACCATGGTAATACAGGACAACTCCTTACCAGCAGCACCCCCACCTCAGATACGCATCTTAAAGCGGCCGGCCAGTAACGGGTCGTTGGGATCCCCGCTGAACCAGAACAGGCCCACGCCACAGGTCAAGTCTCTGGCCCAGCGAGAAGCTGAGTATGCCGAGGCCAGGAAGAGAATACTGGGCAGCGCCTGCCCAGAGGAGACCCCTCAGGACAAACCCAACGTTGACAGGTAGGCAGAAAAGGAGGCTTGCCAAGACCAAGGGAATTGTATTAATCTGAGAAGTGGGTGAAAATGGATGGATTTATGCTGGTGAAAAAAAAAAACAAGTTGCATTCTGTGAAGAAGCAATCGGTCATGTTTAAAGTTTAAAGTTCCTGAAGTTAAGAGGTAAATGACCCTGCCCCACAGAGATGTGAACTCAGATGGATGAATTGGAAGTTTTCAGAGGAAGTTGTAATTTAATACCAAAACTAAAAAAGGCTTCTGTCTTTTTTCTTTTTTTTCTGTTTCCTTCTCTCTGCCAGGCCAGCGCGCAATAACTCTTCGTTGCCTTCGGAGGACACCAGATCAAACAATCACTCTGTCCGGCAGCCGGCCGGCCCAGACGGCACCCAGGGGTTCCGACAGCACAGATAAGCGGTCCCTCGAGGGGAGAGAAATCAAGGGCCTCTTGAGATCAAACGCAGTACTATATCTTAAACTTCCTTGCTCGAGGTCCTGGCATCAGGTGGGCGGGGATTCTGGCGGCGCCGCGGGCCCCGTCTCCCCTCTCGCAGTCATGTGGAACCATCAGGGAGCGAGGAACGGCAAGAGGAAGTCTGTGGAAATGCGCTCTGCTCTTTCCCCGCTCCAGTCTGCCTGGCACTGTGATTATTGACATTTTCTGAACTCACTGTGACGATCACCCTTTAAGAGACAACCCCCCCCCACCCCGCGCCGCCTCCCTCTCTCTCCAAAGACTTGAAAAAAGAATGGTTTGGAGACGAGGTGAACTGAGGGGCCATATCGAATCCAGCTGGTTGTTGTGCCGCAGCCTCTTCCCAGCAATAATACCAGACAGCACCTTTCACAGTTTTTAGTTCTTCAGATTTCTCACTTGTCCTCATCATCTCTGGGGATGCACTGATATCTTTTAAATTCAGTTAAAAGTTCCTACACATACAGTAATATTTCTTTACAGCATAAGAAAATAGAGATTTTAAACAGTGAATCCGAACTTTTTAAGTCTCTAAGAAATAGGAAACCTATTTTCCCACCTTCTTTGTTTGGCGGTAAAACAGTGAAACGCCTCGCTTGGGTTTGTAGCACAGTGAACACACATGACAACCAAGTCACCGGAGGCTGGAGCACAGCTGAGCTGTTCAGTATCAGTGCATCCCGGAAATGTAAAATGCCATTCGTTTTTCAAAACAGAGGGTAGGGGTCTCGTGTGTCAAGTTGTATACCTGACAAGCTTTTGTTTACTTTTTTTTTAATGCTTTGCAGCTGTCTTCTTTGGACTGTAATTTCATAGTTTCTAATTAAAAGTAAAAGAAAAAAATGGAAGAGCAGAAAGTGGATTCAAGTCAACTTTTTTAGTAGCTTTTCTGCCCTTTCTTGTATGAAATGGCAGCGATGTCAGCAGTATTTTAATTGAGATGAACCAAAAGTCCTTTTCTTAAAAAAATCAACCTTAACTATCTAGAGTAAAAGGTGGTTGTTTGCAGCACCCTGATGGGGAGTTTGAGGGTGGAAGAAATGTACTGCTGTGCTTCACAAGCCTCCGTGTCTGGTCTCAGCAGTGTCGCTTGTTTCTTCATGTCCTCTGTGTGTACATGTAGGAACTCAGGTCCACGTGAATGAGACTGAATGAATGAAATGAACTAAGATTGTATTTTTCCAGCGGGGTTGATTGGTCAGACTACTTCTGTCCCTATTTAAACTTGGGTTGGCACTTAAGTCAGGGCTCTGTAGAGTGAAATGTAACTGAAATTATGTCTGTGTCTCAACAAATGAATGCTAGGTGTTTTTTTTTTTCTTCTCATTTGCATCTTTGGTCATGTGGTAACATGACTCCATCTAGGACTGTCAAGTGGAAAAAGCTCAAACTAAACAGCAGCTTGTGAACAATAGGAGCTGACAGCGTGGCTTTCCAGGACCATGGTGCCCAACAGATGTTATGTTTTTCACTTAACTGTTCGGAGATCTCAAAGCCATATTTAGTGGTGCAACATAAATACAAAGGCTCTTAAAGGTGATGGTTGAATTCAGCTTGTGCCTCCCGTCTCAAACCTTTACTTCCTGGTTGTTGATTTTATTGCTTTAGTTTAAGAAACTGAAAATGATTGCAGAGTTCTCGGTATTGGAGTGGAAATCTGGCGACAGAGCAAGAACGGACGGGCATAGCTGAGCTCAAAATACAAACTGCCTGTAAATACTGATTTAATAAAATGATTTACTAAAAATAGGATGACATATTGATGGCATGCTCATTTTTAATAAAATTAAAAAACAAAACAAACTTCAAAAAAAGTTTCAGAACAGCCTAGTTTACATGAAAATAGTTTATTTTTTATACTGGTAAACAGGGTTAATCAAACCAACATCGTTTGAGTCCAGGTAGGTGCTAGCTGAAGGATATGGCTGTGTGGTCTGTGGGGAACAGGGTTTGATTGAGGGGGGGCCACGACGTGGAGTCAGACAGAAGGACCTTCAGACGTTTGTACTGTTTCTTGGACGGTCGCCTCCCACGAAGCCACCGTAAGCAGTTCAAAATGCCAAAATCTATGAGCATCTGCAGGGAGAGGAGTTTAAAAAGTATTTGAAGGAACAGTGAAGATGGATAAGACCAGAAACTATCCACCAAACAGCTCCAATTTGTCACTCACCTCCACAACGAAACACACCAGGAGGTTGAGAGCAGCCAGAGCCACGAGCAGCATTTTAAAGTTCATATCAGGGATGTTGTAGATCTGGAGGAATCGGCTAAAGAAAGGGCCTGGATACAGCGCCAGCCAGATCATTATGCCAAAGTGGATGAACAGCACACAAAGGAAGACCACTGGAACGACAAGAGAGGAGTTTTCAGCCTTTGCTCATTTCACTGACCACGTGAAGCTGAATAAGAACGACAGCAGACAATAAGTTACATGATGGCTTTTTATGAGTGTGTCCTGAATACCTGTGATGACTCACCGTTGTGGTAGAGAGGTTTCTTGTGAGGATAGCTTTTGGTGACCACCACTGCCATGATAATGTACTGGAAACCCGACAAGTCAAACACACAGGTGTTCTCCATGTTGGGCAGGTTGGCTGCTCCGAATACTGTGGAATTGAGTGGCTTATACCTGAAAAACATGGGGTGCCACGCCTTATACATCACACTTTTTTTTTTTTAACAGTGGGCACTTGATTTGTTGTTCGCATATTAAAAACAAAACAATAATGACAAGATTTTAGTTGAAAAATGAAGCTTTCAGCCATTCAACAGACCATTCCTGGCTAGTCGTGATGAAGAACGCAGCCAGCTGACCAAGAACGACCATAAACGTGTGGATAAAGAGGCTGCCAAAGACGGGCAGCGCCAGCAGACTGGCTGGAGGTCTGCAGGGGTGAAGCTCATCACTGGGGCCTCCTCTGCCCATCACGATGGCCAGCAGCGTCACCAAAACGAGGTCACAAAGCAGGAACTGTAAGTCGGCTATGCTCGTCCTCACCTAGAAACACACATCAGAACATTTATACACACTTGTGTTTTTAAGTGTTCAGCAAATGTGATTCAGACCGCAATAAATGTATTTTAACAGCAGTGACAGATTCATATGAAAAGTCTGGTACATTTTTCTTATTCTCCCTTGAGGGTTTGATGAGTCTGAGAGTTCTTTGGGCACAAACTAAACATTTCAGAGCTGCATATGGTATTTCATAAATTCCTGAATAAATGAGAATGGCTGAGAGGTCATAAAATTCAAATCAGAAAATGGATTTGTGCCTCAGACTGCACAAGTTAGAGGTGGAAAATGTCCATTTTCCGCTCTGTTTTCTGCATTCTCTGCCCTTCAGCTATCTGGACAGATCTCTGGACGCGATGGAGGCCCTGACGAGCTTTGCTCTGAAACCACCGGGAGGAGCGTCTAGGAGCAAAGAACGCTCAAAGGGAGCGGCGGCCTGGCTGCTACTCACCGTGTTCAGGATGAGGACGGAGCAGAACTGAACGAGGCTGTACAGCGCCATGTACCGGAAGAGACTGAAGGAGGTGACCAGAGAGCACCGGCCCTCTCTGCAACCACAGAGACAGAAAGAAAGGGTGATTTCCCGCCTCTGCTGCAAAGGTCTGGGGTTCGGTTGACTGTTGAACGCGTCCTGTGTCCTCGCCTGATGAGTAAGGGCACGCAGCTGATGTTGTCCGTCCTGGAGGTGAACGGCGAGGCGACGGAAGCCTCGGCCTCGGACAGGGACACCCCGGCATCGGCCGCTCTCAGGGCCCCGCAGTCGTTGGCTCCGTCCCCACACATGCCCACTCGATAACTAGCAGAAAAAAGACAAGATTTCACTGAGAGCAGGTTTTTACTCGAAATCTCGGCAGAAAAGCTGCTCAAAGTCCAGCTTGGACGAGATGCAGCATTCCCCACCATGAAGGCATCCGTCATGCTACTCCCGGAACATCTAGTCAATCACACCAACCAGAGGAGACACTGGATTGAGTTGTCTTCTAGACTTAAACTGTAGGCATACACAGAGCCGTTCTAAGCACATGAGAGCTCAGTGTTACAGATGTGCTTCAACTTTCCTTCTTAGAGCCCATTTCCAGAAAGCAATCTCAGCTTTTTGTACTCCATCTAAAAATCTGGTGATTCTCAGTGACTGATGCAACAGCTATATGAGGAGTTTAAACCCCCACCTCCTGTTTCATCCCAATCTCGCCTCTTTCCTCATGACCAAAAGAGGAAAAAAAAGCTAACTTACTTAAGTTTCTGCAGCTCTTTCACCAGCTGGGTTTTCTGGTCTGGGGCCATGCGTGCGAACACAGTGGCTTGCATCAAAACCTGCAATAAAAACACTTTGGGTCATTTTTCCTGCCGATTTACCTCACCGTTGGGATATTCCCGCTGCTGGTACAGTATGCGTTACCTTTGGAAGATACTCGGGGAAGTGCTCACAGAGGGCAGCAAAGGACTTCCCACTAATAGCCAAATGATGCCCAAAACCCCCCTGATACAGACCCTGAGAGGAGATGAAAAGCACAAACATCATCAGGAAAAGGAAGATCAAAAGATAAAAAATTAATATTCAATCGGTAAAAACTTGCATGCACTAACGTGTAAATATGAGGTAATGAGGAATTACCACCATTAGAAATGTGTGTAGTACAACATAAACAAAGACAAATACTAAACACTATTAAAAGAAAAAACACTGTTTTCTTTTTTTTTCTCACAAATTTTCTAATCAAATCAATTGAGTGTTCACAATACTGTATATACACCATACATAATATATTGACAGAAATAAGAAGACCAGGAAGACCCACCCGCGTGGCGTCATCTGTGGAGCTTTGGGCAGCACCGGCCCCCCCGTCCTCCATGCTGAACCTCAGGGTGGGCATAGACAGGGCAGAGCGGGGCGTCGCCGTGACGAAAATCACCCTTTCATCAGATCCCACCATTCCGCAGCTTTTTGCTACATTTACTGCGGTCAGAATGTTGTCCCCTGCGTCAGAAATGACAAAACCCGGCGTGTACAAGGCCGCTGTTCCTTCAACAGAGCGGGTAGGCTGAGAAATCCATCTCACCGGTGACCATCACGCAGCGAATGTGCGCCATTCTCAGGACGCTGATGACGCCCGCGCTCTCAGGCTTCACCAGGTTCTTCAGCATCAGCAGACCCAGGAACTGCATGTCCGTCTCCACCTCGCCGCTGCAGACCCACACAGAGCTGCATTAGCGCACATCTGACAGCTGGAACCGAAACCAAAGCAACCAGAGACTCTCACCGTTCCATGGTCCTTAAATCAGACTTTAAATCGACTGGTTTACAGGCCAGGGCAAGAACCCGGAGGCCTTCACTGGAGAATTTATGCAGCTGGCCGGAGAACTGTGCTGGGACTGTAAACACATAAATGTAGATCTGATAAAGGGGGTGATGTAAAGTCATCAAAAAAACATTTCAGAGGGCAGATTTCTGACTGAACCTGTTTCAGCTCGACAAAGGCTGGCCACCATCTCTGGGGAGCCTTTGATGAAAGCCAGGGCAGAGCGCCCCCCGCGGGCCACCGTGACCACGCTCATCCTCTGCAGGGCCGAGGAGAACGGAAACCTCTGAACAATGGCCGCTGCTTCGCTGTGCTGAAAGCGAAACAAAAAAAAGAACGAATGTGTGAACTCACAGCAGATCAAACTATGTTGGACACAAATACAGAAAGCAGGGCTCACACTGTTCTACTGTCTCCCAGAAAAAAAGGGTTAAAAGACAGCCGATTATGTTTGTGTGAGGCTAATCATTACGAGTCCAGGACTAAAGAGAGAGTAAGACCAACACAGCAGGACTGTCCTTAACGTGTGAGCCCAACTGAGTGATGGTCGGGACACTCACAGTTCCCTGAGATTGAGGCTGGTGAGTTGGAGGTCTCATAACAGCTAAAACTTTGTGCCCTCCAAATTCTGCATCCAAGGCATTTCCATCTCCCTCTGGCTCCTGTAGACTCTAAGAAAAGAACACAGATTTTCACTTTTTTTGCTCAAATATACATTATATCATCATATAAATATTAATCTAATATTAATTTTAGTATCACTAAAGTATTAACAAGAAAGTAACATTTAAATACTCAGTAAATTTAACTACTCATGCTCATAAATACAGACCAAAAGGTGTCCATGTTACATCACTGATTTAGACAACAGGAAATTGCCGGTATTTTGTCTTCTCAAGGTGTCAACACAAAGGGGTTTGTCCAGGTGACCCATAAAATACAACGGGCCATCTGGTATCATACCCAGCCAGTAGATTCGACCATCTTGAGCTCCAGCGGGTCTCCGAGGGGCTGGCCGTGCAGCAGCGTGACGGTGTGACAGCAGGCCAGGCCGGTCTGCAGAGGACCCGGGGGCAGGAGGGCGGGCTCTGGAACCAGCTCTGAGAACCCAGCCGGCCCCCCCTCCATCACTCCCCACACATCCAGACCCTCCTCGGTCAGCGTCCCCGTCTGGGGAAGCAATCACTGGGATTACACTGAGGGAGGCGTCGACGGCCCGTCTGACCACACCTTCTGTCCTCACCTTGTCGAAGCAGAACAGAGAAACCTTCCCACAGACGTTGATGCGCGGCGGGCTGATGCAGAAGATACCCCGACTCTTCAGCCTTCTCTGGGCGTAGATTGCTCCTGTGGTGATGGCGGCCGGCAGGGCGGGTGGCACGGCTATCGTTACAATGTCCAGGCTTCTAATGATCAACTCCAGCCAGGTCACCTGGACACACCCAATCACGGGTCAGAGAAACGCCATTCAAGTACAGGCGGGAGAAATCATTTTGCTCCGTCTTTGTAACACTCACATTGGTTCTCATGAGGACCACAAAAATGTAAATGGTGCCAATGATAGCTGAAACAAGCAGAAAAATATTAAAGTACATAATCTGAAAAAAATAACGTAAACATAAAAACAACTATTTGCTTTGCAATAGAAACCAAAGGGCAAAAGCTGCCAAAGCTTACCAACACAACCTAGAATGAGCAAGAACTTGACAGCATCTCGGTAAAATCTGAAGTTGATAGGCTGGGGGTACAAAATGGAGCTAACCAGGTTCCCTTTGGCTGTGAAAAAGCCTGCAGGAGACAGAGAAACGGCACAACTGGATTATGAGGAAAACAAACAGAAAATATTCAAATTTCCTGAAACGGGTTTGTTGTTGAAAAACAACTCCAAACATAAATAATATTTTAATGTGCCTCACATCTGATTCATTGCCACTTATTGGGATCCATTCAGCTATTAGAAGTCAAAATTATTCAGAGGGTGTGAAAACTTACACAATTAATACCAAAATACAGAGAAAAGGTCATGACTGTCTTTACTGACCGGTGCTGGTGACCACTGCAACAGCCCCGCTGCCACCTGGCCTTCCGCCTTTGGCCTGAATGAGCTGAGTACCGCAGAAAAGAGTGTGTCTGCGCTCGGTGTCGGAGCTGTAGGTCCTGCCACCAGCTGGCAGGGGGGTTTTCAGCACCGGGACACTTTCACCTGAACACCAGAATGATGAGGTCGTTTACTCAGTGGGAAAAAAAACTAATACGCTGACCGGACACGCTTAAACACACAGAAACACAGAAAGCTGAGATTTATTATGCAACTCTAAAAAGAATCCCTGTTAAAAGAGCTGAGAAATCAACAGCATGAGCACTTACACAGAGAAAGGTCACGCACTGAAGGCCTTTTCCTTTCATGAAAACCAATTTGCGGTCAACTGTAAATCCACCTCGGAATTTGTGCCGTTAATCACAGTCAGTGTAGCGAAATGTGGCCTGAGCCAAGTCATGAAAGCTTTTTTTTTTTTTTTAAAGAAAAATGGCAGCAACCCAAACCCAATCTGGCAACGGTTCCAATCCATTCCTCAAAATCTGAAGTTACTCAGGTTTTGATCGCCTTGTGGCTTCACCTTCACGCATAAAATACAGCTAAAGCTCAAAAACGCATCAAGGTAGTCCCTGAGGATTGTCTGGTAATTACCCGTCAGCATGCTCTCATTGATGAGACACTCCCCGGCCAGCAGGGCAGCGTCACAGGGCAGCAGCAGACCCTCCTGAGGGACGATCAGACAGTCACCCGGGACCAGCTCCTCGGAGCTAACGCACTCCTCCACTGGGAAGAAGACATGAGGGATTTAATGCAACATAACCCTTCTAAAAATGTGACTTTCCTCTAGTCCGAAGAAGCAAAACATCATAGTTTTCCTCTCGGACGTGCCGTGTGCCACTGGATCTCACAAAATGCATAATTTCTTTTTAGTACCACTTACTTTTTCCAGCCTTTAGTTACTCCTGTGCCAAACTTTTTGGAGATGTTTTGTAGTTCATGTTTGTTCATACAATTTTAAAATCCCTCATACTCAATACGTCACATTGACCTCAACTATCAGCGTATTAAACATCCAGAAGGACACTGGACTCACCTCCTGAGGCTCTGCGTATCGTGACGTTTGTAACCAACCGGGCCATGTTGCGAAATGTGACGCTTTGCTGTTAGTGAGAGGTCACATATAACGAATAAAATCAGATTTATTGTCACATCCACAAACTATTTCAATAAGAAACTAGAAAATGCCACTCTTTTTAGACTCACCTTTCGGGTTTCATAAAGTGAGATAGTGATGGAAATAATGGATATAATAAATATACATAAGGCGTAAAAATAATACGAGTCAATCACCCACAGGGTGATGCTGAACACCTGGAATACATAGAATGGGTTGAGGACCTATAGGAAGGAAAAAAAGAAGACAGTTAATGTAAAAAAATAACTAAAATTAGCTGAAACTTGTTAAAAATTGTAACTGGTATTCCAACTTACCTCCTCAAATAGCAGCCTCGTGTAAGACTTCACAGGTACATCAATAAGGTTAACCCCAAAAATATTTCTCCTTAAAACATATGAGATGAATTACCATCAGCTCCCCATAGGATGAAAAATATCATAAAAATTCACATATCCTCTCATACCTCAAGCTCTGTTCCAGGGGACTCAACCCCTTCTGGAAGCTGTGCAGGTCTTTACAGGTCCAGTCCTCACTGAGGACACTGTGGACAGAGACACACCATCAGAGCGTTCTTTTCTCATCTTTTCTCATGGTGTGAGGTATTTTCTGCTTTCTGCTGTGGTCGCGTGTTGGTTGTTTTAGATGTCGGTACCTAACACGACAGAAAGCGCCCCTCCTGTCCAGCCAGATGTAGCGCAGCCCTTCAAACAGGTAGTAGCGCACCAGTGTTTTCTGGAACACATCAACAAAAAAAGGGTTGTAAAACAAGCAAACAAACAAAAACCAAACAAACACTGAGCACATCCTCCTTACCTCCTCCCGGTAAAGCTGAACCGTATCTCTCCACTCAGCCTCTTCCAGCTGTCCCAACATCTCCAGACTGGAGTGGAACAATAGGTTAGGTTTTTTACTTTGGTCTTTTTGACCGTCATCCCTATTGTGCTGCTGGAGGACAAAAGCAGGGACCTCACCTTCCCTCCTCCACCTCTTGTGTAAGCACCTCCACAACATGCTGCTGGCCAAACGTGTCCTGAGGGAAAATATTGAAAATAAATACATCAGCCATGGCAGAAAACAGCGCACGTGACTGACAAAGATAGGACTCAACTATCAGAAAACACTGGCCTGGTCGACAATCTTTATCAGGACACAGTGAGGTCACAAACATGGCGAGATTTTACAGTAAATATGCTTGAAAGGACAATGTGGCAAGATAGCGGTGGCTGTCACATTTCCCGCTGGTTTAATTCTGCGTGGGAGTTCTTTATCTTACCCTCAGAAGCAGAATATCAGCCAGAGCCAGAGGACAGGAGCGGCAGCGGGCGAGGACGGCGAGCCTCGGGCGCCAGCGAAACACAATCAGGAGGAGACCCAAGGTCAGCAAGGCGGCCAGGCGACACGACCACACCCGCCAGCGCACCCACTTATACCCCTGTACATCCTGGGGGAGCAGAGTCACACAGTTCTTCAGAGGAAAACACAGGCTCAGTGCCACTTTCCTGCAGAGGTTGGTTTTAACAGATTGTCAAAACTTGTAACTAGAAAGGCATTTTTAAGACGGTAATCTCAATCTCAGCTCTTCTCTGACCCATAATCTACTTCTAAATTAGTTTCAATGTGGATGCATTTTTGGCTGAACGTTCGTGAATAGCAGATAGGACAGAAACACATCTCAGGCTCCCGTCTGCTAGTATTTTGTCCTGCCAGCAACACACACACACATCGTTGCACAGTGGCATGTGTTCATTGTGGTGGGCACCACACACCGGAAGCAAGCCCCCCCTTCAGCCAGTCCGAACACTGCATTTCACCCATACTGCTCTCGTGTCTTCTTCTTGGCCACATTTTGTCGCCACAATAAATGTCACTTGTTACATTGGCAGTCATGGTCAGTTTAGCAAAAACAAAGCAAAAAAAAGGAGGAGGATCTTACCATGTGCGAGTCAGGACTGAGCAGGGGGTCACGTGGACTGGGCGATGGGAGTCCGCTCAGCGACTCCTCCACACTTCCTACAGAACAGGATACGAATCAATAACAGGTCCAGCTACTGTCAGATTTCAAGTGATAACACACACCTCCAAAGTCAATATTGAGCAAACACCCGCAGCACAAAACTATATTCATCATTTAATTTGCTAATTTCTGCATCCTAATTTCTTCCCCTTAGACCCCTCTCTCCTTGCTTCTTCCCACCAGAGATGTGAGCAGAAGAGACCATGGTCAGACCAGAGGAATGGAGACCAGCTTTTAACGGACAGACACAACCATGAGGTTACTTCAACCCTAACCTGTTGAAGTATTCTCTGCAAAGATAGCAATTTATCCCATCTCAATATACCCTCTAATTTAATTAATTTAAAAAAAGACACTTTTACCTTCAGCTATTGAGTGTCTTTGCAGTGAAACAGTGTTTAAATTATATAAAAAGATCATGATTTAAAAAAAAAAATAAATCACTGCATTCAGCTTCCCTGAACTAGATTCAGCAACCGTGGAAAAAGGATGCATGAAGGCATTTTGAGGACACAAAACAAACATATAAGGTACGTTTAATTTGTTTCAGTGTCTACAGAGTCATCCCTAAGCAAACACTAAGCAAAGTACACATCCTGTTTTCACTACATTGTAGCAAAAGTTTTGTGCTAGGTTAGTTAAAATTGTTTTTATTTATTTTCTTGATTCAAGTACAAGAAAAGCAACATAAAAATCCACTTGCGGAAAGGATCACAGTGATTCTAAATATATCAAAATTATAAAAGCACAATGCAAACACATATAAACTTTAGGAAAACACACCAGAAAGAAGACTCACCATAAAGTTCAACGGGGCCAGTAAACGCGTCTCAGTGCGACCGAAAAAGTTGATTATCCGAAAGAAACATTAGCTTTTAACGTCCCATAACATGCCCGCGGTATGTCATTATGCTGATAAAGTCTGACTAAATCGTGTGCGATAGCCGAGGGTATAAATGACGCCGTAAATAGAAGAAAAAGTAATTTGTCCGGATTCCTACTTCCGTCTTCAACAACAAGAGAAATATTAAAAAGCTGCATTAGTTTCGTTACGTTTAAGAAAAGAAACTGAGTCGCTCCTGAGAACTCTTGCCCGCAGATCGGAAGGGAACGATCAGATGAAAATAATCAGAAAAGCGAGTGTAGGTGCACATAAACCGCACCTGGCAGCTGGGCTGCTTCCGCGCATGCGCGGAGGTAGGCGCGCCCGATGACAGCCGTGCAGTTGTTAAACCGGCTTTTAATCGGATCTACCATCAGATTTTTACGCAAAAAAAAAGAAAAAAAAAGACAAAGCAGACACACTAAATTTTAAAAATGCGCAGAAAATGAATACCCTGAAGTTGTTCTAACTCTGCCACCCGAACAACAATTCATTGGACGAATGCAGGTATATCTCTCAACAGATTGCAGTTGTCTTCTTTTTGTAGGGACATCCGTTATTAGAGCCACCACAAATAAACGTTTACACTACTGGTTTTGCAGCAAGTTATCATTAAAGTAATATTCCCCAACATAATAACTAGTGTTGCTTGCCCATGCCCATAAATATATACAGTACCAATCAAAAGTCCTTATGAAAGTACTTGTGGTACAATCATGTGGAAGCTTATCGGGGGTGAGCTGTTTTTCCAAATCACATGCTTGGCAGGGTCTAACTAGGCCAATCAACCAAAAGCAAAAACCCTGCTGGACCCCTGCTGGATTTGAGTCATTCATTCAGTGTCAGTGGATTTTGAATAACCCGTTACAAGAGAAAATGCACAACAGGGCAATGTTACCTTAGGTGTTACAATGATGTATTGGATTTCCACAAGTTTCGTGTAACCTATTCAGTGACATACCTCCCCCAAAGGACCACACCAAGATCATTGCACCGCTTCAGGCCCACTGCTTCCCAGAAATAGATCAATAACCCTGTTCACGGGCTGTTCAGCTGCATTTTGAGGAGATCTTTTGACGACTTATGAGTCCTAAATTGTTTGGTAAGCTGTGGACTAACTCTTGAGAAAACTTTTCTGCTTTGAAACTGTTGAACAGAACAAACTTTCTGTAATGACAAAATCGGGGAACTGCGGCGTGTGCACAAATGGCAGACAGACACAAGACAGTCATCTGAGCTGAGGCGGCAAAAAAGCCCTCCTCAACATCAAGAAGGACAAAAGCAGCCTTTACTGGCAGGATATGCCAAGGCTCACAGCCACTGGGTGAACCAACACATTATCTCCTAATTCTTTTCTTTTTTTATCTGTGTCCTTGGTCCTTGATTTGTAGGAAAAATGGCCAAAAGCCCAAATAGTAGTGAATATTACAAAGCTACTAATAGAATGTAAGAATATTTGTGGTGTATGAGCAGCATTGTCTACATTAACTAATGTCACATTTATACAACATTAAATACACTACAGTATTGAGTGCAAACTTTGAAACCTATTAGGAAAATAGTCAGTAGAAAACTGATAAATTTGAATGCCAGTTACAGTAGTGCTTTATTTGACAGGAATAAGTTGTTTCAGAAATTCATCAGAAATTCTGCATTTGAAAGAGGTAAAGGTACGTTTAGTCTGATAAAATAAAAATGTGGCAAACTTTTTTTTTTAACCTCTTGTGAAGGTATTACTGTCAAACTCTTTATTGAAGCAGTTTAAATTGCACGTCAAATAATTAGCATACGTTAGCATAAGTCACAAGCGGTTCTCTGATCATGGTAATTAACCTATAATTAAGGTCCTACACCCGGAGTTAAGTGGCCTGAACTTCAGCTTTTTTTTACACTGTGTATTCACTGCCGACTCTTAGATTATTTTTTACTATTAAAGGAAGGTGTTTTCGGGTATTGGATATTGGATAACTGTCACAGGGGTGATACACAGTGCAGTGCTGAGCGCTGGACGTCGGGACGTCAGACCCAGCTGTGGCTAACGGTTAGCTAGCACATTGCAGCCCTCTATTTGGAAGAAACGGTGGCTAAAAAGTATTCAGAAAAACTTACCGCGCCTGTCCATCCTCTCGTTAGGATTCCAACATTCGCATGCTTCTTTTCACAGACGGTCTGCCCACTTATCCCACATTAAACCTCCTTTGGAGCGTGCAGCCACGGCGGGTCCCCGTCCTACGGCAAGCGTGATAGTCCAAAACTGTCACGAGCGCGATCAACTACCGCCACGGACCGTGACGTTTGCAGAGCCAGTAGTGGCCCGCTTCTTTATCACTAAATCGAAATGCCGTTTAACACGCCCCCCCTCTTTGACACAGCACTTACTTTTTGTCTTTAAAGGGTTTAATCCATAGTTCCATTAACCAGAAATTATTATATTATCATAGGTTTAGTCACATCGGCATTGTTAGATAAAGAAAGTGTCTAATGTAAATCTAGCAAAACTACCACAGACCAAGGCTTTCTTTTTTAAGTCTTACAATCTTTTTGTTGTTTTTTTTTATCTCTGGTGTCTACTACTTTTGTATTTCTGTTTTTGTTGCATTTGTTTAACCCATGCATTTAACTTTATCTTCCGGCTTTTTAGGTCTGCTCTTGGACTGCCCATGATTACCGCAAGAGTCTGATTGAAATCAACTTTGGTTTTCTATTTCAGAACTGTGAGCTTTAAAACTGTGGTGTGATTTAGCATTTCACTGGATCTTGCTCTCGTTGGGACAGGAAAAAATTCACAATAATAAAAAACATTGACAAGAACCTAGATTCGATTCTTCAATATATTTATTGCAATATAAGTCACGATAGCAGTGAACAGAAGCAGATCTCTTCTACTCTGTGTGTTTGTTCTCCATACCAACCTCAACGCGTCTTGAGCACATAATTAAATTAAAACCAGACTGAACACAGAGTCATGCAAACCTATACTGTTACCACTATGCAGACAAGGAGCAAAACTGTGGTCCATCATATTATAGCACACAATATATTTAGCTTAACAGTTCTCAACAGAAGGCCGTTTTCTGACAGCTTCTGGTTTTCAGTTCCCTTATACGACCGCACTCATCCTTCTCCCCCCCACACACACTCACACAGACAGACAGACAGACGGACAGATAACCTCAGGCACTCGTCAAAATCATAAAAGGTGCTAATGTAGCAAAGTTTTGAGTTGGCTCATCTCTTCTTCCTCACACAGTTTGAGGTATCAGGAAGTTGATCTTGAGCCAGTTTAATTTACAATGGTTCATGTTGCTGCTGCCTTCTTCTCTTTATAAGTCGCCATCATTTTCTTGATCTCTGCGATGGCCTTTCCAGGGTTGAGACCCTGTGGAAAAAAGTATGTCGAACAAACCGTGAGACACCAAAACGCTTCATTCAGCGAGAAAACGTGAGAGCTAATGGCTTTCAAGTACCTTGGGGCAAGTTTTGGTGCAGTTCATGATAGTGTGGCAGCGGTAAAGCGAGAAGGGGTCCTGCAGTCTAGACAAACGCTCCTCGGTGAATTCATCACGGGAGTCGATCATCCACCGGTATGCCTGTGGGATTCCAGCAGTGTTTAGTCTTATTTCTTTTCTCATCATTCAAAAAAAACAATCATTGCTCTTGGAGCAATCAGTTCAAACGTGAATAATATGTTGGAGTGTGTGGTCACTAACCTGCATGAGGACAGCAGGTCCCAGGTATTTGTCTCCATTCCACCAGTAGCTCGGGCAGCTGGTGCTGCAGCACGCACAGAGGATGCACTCGTACAGGCCGTCCTGTTCAGTTAAACAGTTAGAAACAAGCTCAGTCATTTCGGAAATCCTCTGTGACTCATATGAAGCGGTAACATAGAAAACAATGTTAGGCACTTTAAATCTGCAATGCTCACATTTCAATCCTCAGTCTCTTATGACGGCATTAAACCAAATAAACGCCACAGTTTGGATTGTTCGGGGTGTTTTTCCAAGTCTGTAAGGCCACCTAATGGAGTTGGAAGACTTACTAATTTTTGTCTGTCCTCCACTGACTGGAAATACTGCTCCTTCCCCTCCTGAGCCTCATCCTTCTTTTTCAGATATGGCTCGATGGATTTGTACTGTGCGTAGAAGTTGCTCATGTCCTGGTGGAATGGATGACAGTAGCAAATTGATTCCTCAAAGCCTCACATACCGTTCATATGATACACTTCCTCATGTCCGCTCTTAACCTATTGAGCAACTTTTTTTCCCACGATTGCAGCACTTACAGGCACCAGATCTTTGACGACGTACATGTGTGGCAGCGGGTAGATTTTGACGGGTTTGCTGGTGTTCGTGTCGATCTTGTTCAGGCACGCCAGTGTGTTGCCTCCATTTATGTTCATGGCGCACGAGCCACAGATACCTGCAGAAATTCACAGATGTCAATGAAAATGGGGCAAATGAAAGTCACTTGAATAGATTTGCTACCATAAAAATTGTTTATAGCAGCATGTTCTGCTGCTTGAATGCATTACACATTCATAAAGTGTCTGTCAGTCTATGAATCCATCCATGAAAGCATGAGGCCAGATGGTATTTCCGTCTTACCTTCCCGACAGGAGCGTCTGAATGTGAGCGTGGGGTCGATTTCATTCTTGATTTTGATGAGGCCATCTAGAATCATCGGACCACATCTGTTTTAACAAGAACACGCGTTTGTTCTGGTTATTCATTCATTTCTAATGAGGACCAGCGCTACTTAGGAGTACCAAGCGAAACGACTTACGAGTTGAGATCCACTTCGTATGTCTGCATGCGTGGTTTGTCCCCAGGGGTGTCGGGGTCCCAGCGGTAAATCTGGAACTTCTTGATCCTGGGTTCGGGAGCTGTAGCAGCTGCAGTCTGAGCGTGCCGCACCAACTGTGTGACAGGTGACAAGATGTGTCTGAGAGCCATAAATAGTTCTCCTCATTTAAAGTATGCCACCTTTTTTTTTTTAAAGTCATTGGAGTTAGACACAGAAGAAGACTTCATAACCCGACCTTGCTGTTACGTGGACTGAAGCTTCAAATGGAAAGTATTTGGTAATTTTAACCCGTGACTCATGATGTCAGAAATGGTGCTGGTATATCTTAAATGTTGCTTTTAGGTACATTAGAATGAAATGGTATAATGACACAACGCTATATAAGGACCTAATCAATTAAATTCACTGACAGTATTATTATTTTTTTTTACATTCCTTTTGTTTTATGCATGACTTTTATTATGAAAGTGCAGAGTCTCCCCCTGCTGGCAGAAGGGCAGAACTGACAGGGACGCGTTACATCACAGCAGTCCTGTGATTACCTAACTGACTTTTAAGGACAATGAAAGATGATCTTAACAACAAAATTTTGATTATTTAACCATTATGTTAGACGGAAATAAACTCATATACTCTGTCTGCATTGATAGACACAATTCCATGTAACATTGTTTTTGTTTTTTAAAGAGAAAGTAAACTTACTATTAGTTATTATTAGAGTCTAAGCTCAACAGACAGGCTGGTTAGTTTTCAAACATAAAGATCAACATCGGTGGACTTTTTCTTTCAGTGTACATTATGCCATGATAATCCACATGTGCCAGTCAGGTAGATAAGAGACTACCATATCCTGTGACATTCGCACAAACCATTTAGCCTTTACGCATGGTATCAAATGCCAGCAAATTCAATGGAAATTTTACAATGCTCAGTTTTTAAAGTGTTAGAGCAACCAAGAAAAAACTAAATTATGAAAAACAGAAGCAGCAACACCAAAATTCATCTCTGAAGATCTTAGAAAAGCCGGTGAAGCTCAACAGTCCTAAAGTAAAAGAGTTCCTACTTACCACCATCATTCCTGCATTCCTTAAAGCCAGGACATTTCGGCTCAGACAAACTACGGACATCTTGCCGGTTGGATATTTTTATGACAACAATATTTCCTCAGTCACTATGAAGGCTGGTCGGCTCGGTTTTGTGTGAACTGGGAGCCCAAGCCGCGCCCGCTATGAGCGCCACGAATTGCCTACGTCATCAACGGTGCCTTCAGGAACACACTGATAGCTCGGAAATTAAGCCGTCAGACTGCGAACGGCCATATTATTACGACATTTTGGCATAAAACTGGGGTATACTGCAAAAATAAGAACACATTGGGTCAATATTATCTTTATTGTTGCTTACTTTTATATTGAAAAATCATTTTCGTAATGATTAACATATAAAAACTTGACAAATAGTGTGACAAAGGCAAATAACTGAAGTTATTTGAAAGCATCAGTTGTGTGAGACTCTTTCACAACTCTCATTGCTGTACACGAGGGTCAGTTACGTATATGGATGCAATGTAATGCCGGTGCTTTGTGTAATTCATGTCAAAGTTTTTGCCCTCTAATCACCTTTTTCAGGGAAAATGAACTTTGTTTGGATTTACTGTGTGTAAATGATTTTTATACCCTCGGAAATATTGATTCAGTTTAAAAGTATTCAGTTCTATAGATTTGTATGATCAAGTTTGTTTAACTATGTCTAACTTCCCGCCACCTCAAAAGCACACGTTGGACTGTGCTGCACTTTGGACAGTTACTTAAGGTGTCCTTGGCCCAGGAAATACAGGATCTTCTGGTTGCAACATTTCTGAAAAACTGCCTGAGCACATATACAAGCAAGATGATGTGTTCTTTTAATGGAAATAATTCTTATCTAAATATATCAGGCATGATCTGAACAAATTAGTTACTTGTTATTTCCTCTGGACAGATAATCTTGTTTCAGAAGCAGCTGCAGACTTGAACTTATTATGCTAGAAGATTCTTGTGATAACCTTGAGGAGGCAGATTACATAAACTTGTTTTTGTCTTGGTAACAAGACAGCCGTGACCCAACAGCAGAGCATATCTCCCTCGGAAGTGTGAAAATAAAGGACTTCAATCATCACCCGTGAAGGGAAGCAACAACACTTAAATTTGAAAGCAGAGAGGGAAATCCTGTATGAACTTTGCAAAAAAAAAAAAGATAAAAAAAGAAATAACATCTGGTAACATAATGAATCTGATGAGGACAGAACACGTGAGAGATGAAACAGAAGTGGGAAGAGAGAGACAGAATGAGTCATATGATTAAGAAAAAGGAGGAGGCTGGGAGTGATGAACGAGCTGCAACGATGGCTCAGACAGAAAGCAGTCAGAAGAGTTTGTTTATTTCTGGAGACAGAAATAAAATACATTGAAGCTGAGAAGGAAACCTGTAGAAATGGTTAATTAAGTCCATATGGAAAGTTCAAGCTCCATATCAGGCAAAAAAACAGCTAAAAATCCCCCAAATCAAGGAAGATAAGGAATGGGGAGAAAGTTAAAAGGAGGCAGAGCAAGACCCAAAGAAGCACAACTTGGGACGAAAAAGTTTTCATTTAGAGAAATGAGAAGCAGAATAAAGTATCCTTACTTCATCCACTCATCTTTATTTATCCGTAGAGTTTTGTGTTTTCCCCATAAATAAGATAATGTATTTTCATCCAAATAATGTATAGATGATTATACAAAAAAATATGAAAATACACCCAAAGCATTAATGTATTTTACAAAGTGGCCTTCAGGACTGAAAACTTCACAGTGAAACTTTCAAAATCACTTTGATATTTGTCCTCATTGACTTCTACACTCATGCTCCCCTGAAAATAAGTAAGAAATATAATAGAGTCTGTATAGTACAGGTAAATAACAGGTAGCTAACAATCAGTGGCGTAGCTAGAAGGTGAAGCTCAGCAGGGAGCCGAGAATTTCATTAGGTCAGATCAAACTGACTTTCCACTTTTCTTAATCTGAGTGGTATCTAGCTTGTTATTGTCTGGTATCGCTCTTGGCTGTGAGTAGCTGTTAAACAAATATACCAGAGGCGAACAGCGCTGGTAGCTGCCGCTGCAGAGCTGTCAGGGTGATAATTGCATTTTGTTCCTGGCAGGAGAGCAGGAGCTGTGCGTAAGAAGGGATTTAGGGCCTTCTTCTGTGGGTGGGATAAACTCACTGCCACATCACATCACATCATGTCAGACCTGTCATGATAGATGTCAGGTCCACAGCAGGAAGTCTGCAAAGGTTTATTAAAGGTAGTGATCTTCATATGTGATGTATTGTATAGTATGCTGCTAAACGTGGTTGTTGGAGGGACTTTATTGGCAGGAGGAGCAGGTTTAATTAGAAATACCATATATGCTCAATTAGCAGCCAATCAATGTTAAGTTGATCGCAAATCTATTTCATCGTTTTAATCTGGTTTGTGGCCATTTGATAAAAGTCCAGCGCAAGATCATCTGCACAATGTTGGAATACATCCAAGGTAGTTTTACATCAGCGCATCAGTTTTACAAGATTAAATTATGCCAGTGACAACCACAAACTACAGGAAACAAACAGCCTGGAGGTGTATCAAGTTGTCAAAGAGGTTAAATCATGCAAATGGATTTTCACATTTTTGACATGCAAAGTGCTCCTTTACGATCCTGTCAGATCAATTCAATCTGGAGGATTTTCTGGCAGAAGGCACTACACAACCGTATGCATGAAGAAAGTCTTGACAACGTGATGTATTCAGGGTTTGTTTAATTTCAGTTTTGGAAGCTCAGGGGGGGGATCATCATTCTGCCTTCCTTTTGTCTCTTCGTTCATGCATAGGACGAGCACACTCCACAAAGGTGACACTTTGGGTGAGGAATTTTTAAATGTTTTATTGTTTAGCTTTCAATGATCACTTCCATAGTTAATCTTACAGAATCACCATAAAATCATCCACTGGCAGAATGGATGTTTTGGACTTTCTTGGACAATCAAAATAATTCTCTTTGTGGCCACGTCTTTTTGCGCCTACTACTAAAATATTGTTTAATTCCACATAAACTGACTGATTTATGCATCCTGTCATTTTCTTTTCCGTTTATTCCTGGTGGGGTCTGGAGTCTAACCCAGCAGGGATTTGGTGAGAGAGTATCACAGGGTCCAGACTGACAAGAAACACAAACATACGCATTCACGTTCCCTCCTTTGGGCAGTTTAGAGTCACTGTTAAGCCTATGAATGTGTTTGGACTGCAGAAGGAAGCTGGAGTGCCTGCAGAGAACCCACTCATACACAGGAAGAACAAACAAGCTCCACACAGAAGGGCCCCCGGCTCAGGGTTTGAACCTGGGAGCCCTCTTGTGCTTGACCGGCACCAAACTGCCTTATGTAACGCAAATGTTTTCGAGCGGTGTAAATAAACTTCGATATTATCCTGAAGCTGTGTGTTTGGCCTGCTGAGGCAACAGAGCATTGCTATTCAGGGGCCGTCCGCACCATGGTGACAGGTGGAAGCCGCGGGGCACCGTGGAGTCACCATGCGTTTTCTTCAGCTGACACCAGCGGAGCACGGAAAAACACTTTCATTTGTTCCATTAATAATCACTGGCTTTGCCTGTTAAACATTGACTCTGAGAGGTCAATAGGGCAGGCTAAATGTAATGTTACATGCAGGGCTGATGTTACTTTACTGGCTAATCACATTAAAGGAAACGTGGGACCGCGAGCTCATCCTCTTTGATGTTTCCCTGCCCGGAGCCCCCCGGCTTTTCGAAACCGGTGCGATCCAAGATAAGCGAGCCACGGCGAGTTCAGATGCGGTGCCATGTGCATGTTGATGATGCTCTGCTTTTTTGATCAGATATTCATGAGTCATGATTTTTGCATTTTGAAAAAAGAAATCGCAGGGGGGGGGGACATCCTAGGTCAAATCTGCTGCTGTACCTCTTTCACTGTGGGCATGAAGGTCATCTCCATGAATAAGAGAGTCATTGGTTAGCTGAATAGTTAGATTTTTTTTATATTTCTCAGGTTACTTTATCAGGATTGCAAGACTGGACAATCAACAGCATCGCGGATTCAATTGGAAGTGTAGCATTACAGCGTTTCATGGAGAGTAAAAGACTATACTACAGCAAATTAGATTTGGTTTGTTTCTGCAGGGAGTTGGTGAGTACACTTACGGTATTTCATTGAGATGCAGGAGTTGCTGCTCTGCCTCTGACTTGATTTACCACCGCAAAGAGAAGCATCTGTCTCCAGAGATCTGTCTCTAGAGATGGCTTTGATAGCGCAAGTTGCACAATGTTGTGCATAATGTGTTCAATACTGAAACCAAGGGGGCGTTTCAATCTAAATGATTGCTTTCATAAAATGACATTTAGGCCTGCGGGATGCAGCCCTCAAGTAGAGTGTCTTGGTCAGTTTAAATTGGGAAATGTATAGGCTATATGTTAAAGCTCAAAGCTGACCTGCCCCAAATCAGACTGATGATGGCTACAGTTGTACAGGAAACATGTCCAGGTGAGAAGGCCGAGTAAAAGCAGGCTTGGCAGGAGGAGTAGAAAGCATACAAAATATCAATCTAATTGTAATCAATGTTTGAGTAAAAATGTTGAATCTAAATGGCCGCTTACTTATCTAAACATGGAGCAATGACTGAGTTAAGGACGGACTCCAGAGTAGATGATGCAATTCAGAAACATTCAGAGACACACAGACAGCAGATGGAAGCAAGGGGGCGTTTGATTACACTAACGAATGTTTCCCATGACACAGCAATTGTACCAACTGACAATATTCTTGAGCATTTTTCATCTGCTCATTTTCCATACCCACTTATGCCAATTTGGGTCGTGGGAGAGCTGGAGCCCATTCTAGCTGTCATCGGGTGAGAGGCGGGTTACGATCTAAAAATGTGTCCAGTTTTATCGCAAAGCTTGAGTACATTCCATCAGCTTAAACACGCATTGAGATGACAGTGAGAGGAGGCTTCTGAACGAGCTCAGAGCTGGGGAAAAATAAAAAGATGTGTTGAGTAAAGAAATCTTCTATCAGTATGTGTGGGTTGCAGATTCATTTCAAAACATGTTGCACAAATTTTGACACTGGTTTGGACTACGACAAGGGAAATAAAGACATATCATTTGGTCATTTTTGACCCTACTGAGCTGGATTCCTCCTCGCATCCATTTCTCTCGTATCCTCGGTGGGAGGATCTCAGACGCAGGGGAGCATGGGCATGTGTTAGCATAATAAAAAGCACCCCTGGTGTGGGGGTTGGCAACGTAGGCATCTTCCCTCCTGTGGAAATAGCTGGAGGAGTCACAGTGCACAAAGGTGTTTCATTTGCACAAGGTGAAGATACAAGCGTCTGTGCACAGCCTGGAGAATGTGTGAAATGCAGGAGCAGCAACTCCGTTTTCAGACACTCAAGCAGACATTATCCTCCATGAGCCAGCCTCTTCGGTCACCCCGCAAAGCCCCGCTGTGCCATTTGGGAGATTTAGGACGTTTTTTGGGCAGCTTTAGAGCATCTTCAGGCATTCGAACTCCCACTGTTAAATAAAAATGTCACCTGTGAGAGATCCAGCGCTGCAACCTGAGTCCACAAAAGAAGATATGAGTAGAGTAGAGAGAGGTTGCAGCTGTTTGACACACAGCAGAGGCTGTTGCTGTGAGCTGTGAAAGCAGAAACAGTCCATACCATTGCTGTTTGTGTCAGAAAAAAAACAAAAAAATTCCCAATCCAGATGCGCACATCAATAATCTGTCACTTACTCATGAAGAGGAATTAATGAGGATGCAGAAAGGCACTCACTGAAGTCGTAAAGGCAGCAGAGGATGTTGTTTTGTTGTAGCTCATTTTCAGACAAAAGAATACCTTGAAAAGCACGTCGATTCTGTTTTATCTGAGGTGACAAGGACAGTTAATGAAAGAGCTAAATTTGCTTAGAAGATGGAGATAATGGTCACAAAGTCAGGGTTGTGAAGGACACAAATGATGTTGTAGTAGAAACACAAAAATCAGGTTGATAAGACAATCTAACCAGGATTGACAGATTCCACAAGGTTGGCCAAAGAAACCGAGTCTTTGTCTTCAAACGCCTCAGAGAAACTGGTGACTGAAGACGCTGGCAGATATGACTCAGAAGCTGTTTTCACAAAAGCAGGTTTGATGGAGAGACGCTGCCAGATTTGTAGGCGAAGTCATCTGTGCCCCTCAGACGACAGAACAGAATTTACAAGCACCCTCTGAATGGTGTTTGCACATTAGCAACTTCTCATAAGCCAATAAAATGAGCACAGTGGATTTTTAATGAGGGGATAGCCTGAACTTGTCTCTCTTAAACTCACATGTTTACAGCTCATTTGTGGTAAAAGCCAAGATTTATGAATACCAATGATTGTAGGTCTGTGGAAGGTTTATTAAAAATGGTTAATAACTTCTGTTACTGATTGCTTGTTTGCTTGAATTAACTTGAATCTGTCCTTCCTTATTCCAGCAAAACATTTCCGATACTACTGGTTTCAGGCAGACCTCGGTGTGCTACAGGAAATATGTGCACAGCTTCTACTTAATGTCGTTACTTTGCAGGGCCTGTTTCCCTAATTCATAGATGTGTTGACCTGGAACCGTTTTAGACAGTCTTCAAGAGGCCTCTGAGGACTTTTCCTGGAAAGTCTCACACTAACAAATCAAAACTCACTTTGCCTTTTCCGGTGTGCCTTTTTTCTGAATGTTTTTTTCTGACAAGTTGACAAGTTGAATTGTTAGTTTTTTTTTACCATCTCCAATGAGAAGAAAGCTAAAAATGTGTTATTGTGGGTCATGTTATTTTGTCTTTTTAGGCTCCTCTGAGTATCTGCAAAGCTGAGGGTGTTTGCATTTGTCAGTATTTATGAATGTCTGATTTTACTTGTCTTTTTATGTACTGCAGGATTCAGTTTTCTTGTCTGTGCTCTTTGTATTTAGAACTTATTGGTGTGACTTTTCTCTGTTTGTATTCCTGCATTCTTGATTTGCCTTGTTGCAATCCCTCTTGCAGCTTTCCTCTATTTCTATATCAGATTTTGTCTGTGCTTTTAGTCCTGACTGGTCTCTGTTCTGTACATGTCCAGGTGTGGTTTCTAGTTTACTCTTTTCCAGCTCTTCTCTGGTCCTCGGCTCCACGCTCACCTCTGTCTCTGTGCCACTTCCTCATCGGCTTCAAGCAGGCTTTATGCTCATCCCAGTGTCTGTCACATCCACCGATTTATTATCTTCCTGTTTGTCCTTTTTTCTGTTCTTCATGAATCTGCTTTCACCATCTGGTTTGTTGTGTGTTTAAATGTTTTGCTTTCACTCGCTGGTTTCTGCATCTCTAGCTCTGCCACAGTTGGTCAAAATGTTTAAATAAACCTCCAGTTTTCACAAGCTGGAGGTTTGCAGTCCATATCTGGGTCATGGCCATCTTAGTAGGCATCCCCGATGTTGGTTTTGAACAAACCTATTTCACTCTAAAAATGAACAAAACTGGAGAGTAACAGGGCATTCATCTAGCTTGAAAAAGAAATAAATAACAGAACATTTTACCCAAGAAGATGGCTGAGAAGTGAGTATTTCCCAAAGGTAAAACTATTCTTCTCAGTGCTTTTGCTGTCCTCGGAAGCTGTCGCAATGTGCTACTGGGCAATATTAGAGGGCTTTTTTTGTTTCAATTTGACTAAAAACAAAACAAATTGAGGCCGTCAGCAGGACCTCACTCTATAATCAGCACTCTGAAATAAGCTCTCACTATGAGAATGTGCTCTCGTCACTGCTCGTACGACTGGAGTGACACAATCAAACATCAGAGGTCACTGTTGTGCTTCAACGGCACTTTTAATAAAACAGACATTTCATCCTCACAACAGCAATGTCTGGACAGAGAGGGCGAGGAGGGGGCTGGCTGAGGGTTCCCTCTGCTGATAGGCTGGTTGCTCCTGATAAGTGAGAGGGAATTGGATAAAGAAAATTGAACTGCGCTGTTGAGCACAGCGGGGGGGGGGGACGTGGACAGGTGTGTGCGTGCATCTGTGTGTCTGCATGTGTGTGTCAACTGACTCATCTTGGCTGGCATTTATGTCTCTCCGCTTGTCTACTAAGCAGTGATAGTTTAGCAAAGAGAACCCCTACCAAAACCGCATCCACTCCCCTCCCCCTCACATATTTACAGGAAAAATTTATACATTCAGTTAATTCACTAAGTAACAAAGCTAATTAATCTGTGGTTTTAGCAGAAATCACATGGTTTCACATCCAGTTTTCAAACAGACCCATCGTTCTGGTTCTCTCCTATAATCTTTACCCACACAGTCCAGTACTCGGTATTCTATTGACAAACGACTCGCACAAAAATCCCTCCCACGCGCCCCCTTTTTAAAGACTGTTAAATCCCACTTTCCCATATTTATAACTATATACAGAAGCAGCAGTCTAACGTCACAAAACCCACCCACCCTACAGTCTGAATCACCCCACCCTACGCCGTCAAAGTTCCCCTTTCCCACCCAATAAAGAAAACGAAACCAAAAAAAAAGGCCGTCGGGCCTCCCCATTCCACACGCTGCCCACATCTTACCCTGTTCTAAAAGAGCATGCCAAGTTAAACAATGAACACAGAAAATGTCTCTATACAGAAAAACACCCTTAAAAATGTATTCTTTTTTTTCCTCCTTCCTCCCACAACGGTGGACATGGACTTAAGACAAGATTTCAGTGGCAACAAATAATCCTCATCCTGTTCCTTTCTGGGGGGGGTTTTAAGTGCTGACAGGAACAGGAATTAATCATAAGAAAGTCCTGTCGGAGGAGGTTATGGGAGCCATGTTATCAACAGTGGGAGGGCAGTTTTCCAGGGTCTCTGAGGCAACATTTGGCCATGGGGCAGTTTGGAACAAAGGGGGGTTGGAGATAAGGGAAGAACAATTTTTTTTTGGGGGGGAAGAGGGAGATCTAAGTTTTTTTTTTCTTATTTTATTCATTTTTTGTTCTTTTTTTGTTTTTTTTTACTCCTTTCTTTTTTTTAGAGTCAGAGGTGTCTGGGACTGGGATGGCCGTTGTGGTAGAGCTTCTGCTTGATGTGGACCATGTTACCGCTGGAGTCCTCCAGCTGTCTGAGCTGGGCTCGACGACGGAGGTCTCGAAGATTGCAGAACTGTGGCAGCCATGACCAGGATGGAGTGTCTGCATTACGGAGATAAAAGGCAGAAAATTCACAGATCAGTCAGGTAATGTAGCACAGAATGACAGTGTGGCTATTGTGCCGCAACAGAAAAGAGCCCATTAATGTGCAATACAATCTGGTGCATCAAACACATTAAACCTGTATTTGTGATCATTTCATCGAAGAATCACGGCATAAAAATGACAGAGCTCCGTGACTGATTGAGGCACTTGAATGAATCAACCTTGTGCTAGTTTATACATCTTCTCCATATTTTGTTTTATTTCTTTTGCTTTTTACTTCACCACTGTAATAATCTTGTAAAATATGGCATATTAACAAGAGATTAAACATATTGGGTAATATATTTGCAGGCTCTTATGTTCAAAAAAAAAAAGCAGAGAATGTTCTGGTTTTTGTTGCTAAAACAGGAAATATTGCATTTTCCCTTTCAATTTTTGCATGGTTCCAACATTTAAGTTAGTGGAAATCTCCATAAAAAAAACTAGGATTGTCTTAAAAACATTTTGAATCAGCTGTGGTTATGAGAAAACTACTTTTTCTTTTATGGTAATTAAATCATCTCAGAATAATTTATTTTAGTGTGCTTTAGTGTCCTGGTACTGTACATAAAACGTGTTCCACCAGTAGAAATTACAACAAAAGCATGAAAAATTTCCCTGCAATATATCTGATAACAAAAATGGGGTAATATAGATGAATATATTTAAAAAACTTTTTAGCTGTTAGGAGTCTGTGTACGTCTGTGTACAGACTGACAGACGGATGTAGATGACCCAGGTCTGTGTGCCAGCACCCAGTGTCTGGCAATTTTAAATGGATAAGAAGATGAACATTTTCCAATATCGAGAACAAAAAAAAAAAACCCAACTAAAAATGGGGTGCAAATAAAGTAAAACTCACTGTAATTGTGTCATAATCACATTGAGTCACATCACTGATGATGCTCTGTGCTCCCCAGCTTAACTCCTGCTCCAAAGTGTCTGTGATAAAGTTTGTTTTGGCAGCACAAGCAATACTGTCTCTCTTGCGCTGTGCAGACAGAAGCAACAATAATGAAATACAGGCTTACAAAGACCAAAGCCGAGTAACTAGACGACACACTCAGGGGATATAGACACACAGCAGTGTAAAATCCTTCTTAGTCTGGTTATTTGTCTGAAAATCCAGTTATAGGCAGGAAAGATTTAACAACATCCAGCAACATGGAGGACAAGTTTCTGCGCCGTGGTCTCTTTTTCGATGCAAATGAAGCACTTTTATGTTTCCTTTTTTGTCCCGCAGGACGCAAGAATTTAGTACTAGACACGCACTAATTTCACTACAGAACTGGAGATTTGAAGCTGATTTGCTTTTCTATGATCTAATGTTCTCCTTTAGTGAAGACACACATGTGTCTTCCCCACATGTCACTTTTCTGACACAGTCTCATGGAAATTATGTAATGAAAAAAAGGACTTTGTTCACACAGACAGATAAGGGGTGTACATTTTTTGTCATGGCACCCAGCATATCCTTTAAATCCTTGGATATCAGGTTTCTGTTTGAATCACAATTAACTGTCCAATTAACCTTGAACATGACAAAAGAAAAGTTTGCAGAAGATACTAAGAATGGCGTCGTTTTTTCCTTAACTTGACTGTGAAGTTTTAACGGCTGAACCCAAGTAAACATCCACCCATTCATCGTCTATGCTCTTTATTCCTGGTCGGGTCAGTGGGTGTCTGGAGCCTATCTCAGCTGCCATTGGGTGAGAGTCGGGGAACATCCTGGACAGGTCGACGCTCCATCGCAGGGAACAACCATGCACACCAACATTCATTCTTACAAACAACTTAGACTCTCCAATTAACCTTAACATGCACATTTTTTAACTGTGGGAGGCAGCGAGACTAACAGGAGAGAACCCACGAGGGGGGAACATGCACCGGAAACCCTCCTTCTGTGAGGCCTTGAGAGGCTAACCCCCGGTGAACGATTATAAATGAATAAATGATGAAAAATGTACACACAGACATACACACACTAGTCCCCTGGCTGACAGTCTGATCGTCATTTAAAGTCCACAGCAAATCCCTCCAAAAAAGAGAGTATTTATCCCATTAAAGCACTCTGCTCCTCTACGATTGTTTCACAAAATGCCACTGGAATGTGTGGACTTTCATGCCCTTGGAGAGCTGTAGTTCGGAGCTAAATCCTCAAAAGTCTGCTGTCCCCTACTAGTTTTTAAAGTTATAGTACATCACATTCATTCAAGTACTTTTTATTCAAAGTGACTTTCAAGTTCGGAAGACATTTATGGGTTTGAGGATCTTGTCAAGGACACTTTCACTCTTAATTCCACAACAAAGAGAGTATTTTCTCCCTCAGTAAATGTAGCTCCTAAAGGACTCTTTTTTGCTTGGATATTTCCAAAAGACAAACTAAGATGGTAAGTATTTTATATGGAAGCAACCAGTTCTCACCAGTTGTCAGGTGAGGTTTTACAACTGTTTGATAGGTAGTGAGGAAGACAATAGACATTGGCAGACTTATGAAGCACATAACGATCTTTTGAAGAGATCTTATCAATCTGAATTAAGCGTGCAGAAGCTGGAAAAATGTCTTAAACCCAACTGTGCTGGGGGACGTCCCTCGCCGTGCTCTAATTTGTCACTAAACAGCCAATCAGTATGAACAATTTCACCGAGCGATGCAACACATATTTTCCATTCTTTTAACTGGCCAGAAAAAAGAGATACATAGTGGCAAAAAATACCAGAGATACAAAAAATCTGCGATGCTCTGGATGTGCCTGACGGCTGATTGCTGGCTCATTTTGTAAGAACTGAGCTCTGAAAGCTTCAATTTTACTTTCAAGAATCCATGTGTACAGTTTTTGAGGGACTCTGGTCATCTGGGACTCTCTGTGGTACAGAAATGTTCAGCATGTCAGTCCTTGTAATCATTTGAATATTTGAACCGTGGTCAGTTCATCTAACCGGAACTTTTGGAAAATAAATCCAAAATCAATGTAATCAATTTTGTCACCAACTGGCAAGTATCAAAGAAAGAGGATTAAAAAAAAGACACTGTTTTTTGTGGTAGATAAAAGTGATTTACGGGCCCCGTGAAGACAAAAGGGAGGAAAAGCTGAACCTTTGTATATCCTTCCACCATTGGCTTCATCACAGCCGTAACTTCTAATTCTGGTAAGTAGGGGGTTATTTTAGTGAGGGCAGGGTGACAGAGGAGGGATAAAAGATTGGAACATTGAAATATTGGAGGATGTAAATAGCATCAAGTGAAAGGTGGCATTGGCCTTGACTTCACACTTGTGTTTGGGCAGCTGCCTGTGACAGCTTGTGTCCCGACACGGACTCCTGTTTTTTAGTTAAATGTGTCTGTCAGTCTTGGGCTAGTTCGCCGCCGTCCCCGTGCCGTCTAAAGAGCAGAGTCTGCCGGGAAATGGAGAGCCATTTCATGAGTTTGAGGGGCATAATGTGAAGAGGGAGCACAGTTTCGGGGCTTGTCAGGTTATAAACAGGAGCCGGCGAGGCTGATTGAGGTCCATAGAGACAGCCGAAGAGAGAGGGGGGGGGGGGGGGGGGGGGGGGGGGGGGGGAGGGGAGAGCCCCAGACAGCAAACCCAGTAGCAAATGGCCGTGCTCGAGGAAGAGCAAGAGGGATTGGTGGTGGAGCTGGGAGGAGCGGGGGTGAGGTGCTGGGTGGAGGGGGAGATGTGAGAGAAAGTGAGTTATTTATAGCTGTGAATGGGTATGCTGTCCACAAGGACTGCTCTGAAGGGTATCCAAAGGAAAAGGGGCAACAAAGACAGGTTTATCTCATTTGAATAAAAGGATATAGATGGAGATAGAGTCAGGGGGAATTTTGATGCCAGGCAGAAAAATGGAAGGCAAAGACACTATTGTTGTGCCCTTTTTAGAGCCGGGGGAAGGCAGATGGGGAGTTCAAGCTGAACGCCAAGTCATCATTTTTTATAATATTTCCGATAGTCCTTGTGTTCTCCTCTCCCCGGTGTCTTAGGAAACCGTCTCCGTCTGTGGAATCAGATATTAAGTGCAAATTGGAGATGAGAGGGGGAAAAAAAAAATGTTGCTGCAGCAGGAAGCTTCGTGAAGGAAATGGCCAGGAGTAGATTCAATAAATGAGGAGGGAGGAGGAGGAGGAGGAGCTAGAGATGGAATTAGGAGAAGAAAAAAGCAATGGGAATCACTGTGCATCTCAATGCACTCTGTGTGTGTGTGTGTGTGTGTTTCTCATTCCAGCTGCTCTCTTGTTCTATTTATAGCTGCAGAGGAGAGAGTGTGTAGATGTGTGTAAGTGGGGGTAGAGATGTGACAGCATCTCCATCCTGCTCCCACACACACTCACACTGCCCTGCTCTGTCAGCCTCACCTTCACTCCTCATCTCAGGGAGGCTAAACGAGTCTGACCCAGCAACGACGTCACAGTGACACACACACACACACACACACACACGGATGAGGGGCATTCCCTCCCAGTGCAAAATAGAAACTTACATATGACGTTCTTTAAGTGCTTCTAATTAGCGAGCATGTTTTTCTTTCCCCCGAGTGTTTTTTTTTCTTCCTTGCGATGAAGCATTTTACACTGGAGGAAAGAACATTGTCTCCTTGCTGCAAAACCTTCAGTGCCAGAAAATATCGACCCCTGAACAACCGAAGTGCTGAGAAATGAAAATACAGCATCATGTATTTTATATTTTAAGTGACTGTCAAGTATTAACTGTCAGTCTTCGGCTGCGTGCTTTTTCCCCAAACCGCCTGAGGAGGTTTTCCATGGCGGTCCCGGTATTCAGGTCACATATCACCTACTTTATTCTTAAAAGTGAAGATTCAGGCCACCTCAACTTCGCAGGCATGCACAAATACGCCTGAGCCACACAGCGGAGAGCCAAGTTATTCAGACAGGTTTGGGAAGAGTTTCTGCCTCTTTAAATTAAACTGAAATCTGGCAAAAGAAACTGAAAGGTTTG